AGGTGGGTGAAATGAGGACCCGGACTGTGGGGGCAAGTTGCTGACTCAATTTGCTAAAAAATTTGTAAACCGCTAAGAGAGGGCTGAAAGCCCTATGAAGCGGTATACAAGTCTAATAAATAAATAAATAAATAAATAAATTAGTCCCTTTTTTTCAATACTGTTGTAACTTCAAAAAGTCATTCAATGAATGGTTGTAAGTTGAAGACTATCTGTATATAAATAACGTTGATTGCTAATCTCTTATGGCCCACTCATGCATACATTTGTGTAATCTCCTGTTAAAGCTGTGTTTTTTGGGCCCTCGCCATCTCCAGTGACAGTGGCTTAATTCTGATTTGCATAATCGAGTCATTCTTGAAGCGCGCCATGCCACCTGGTCCATTTTGGCTCTCCTGGATGAAATCACCAAAGGCAGCTCAGTCAGCTCCCAAATATAGGATTAGAAGGGTTTGAGTTTAGAAGTTGCCCCACCCCATGTTAAGACCTTGGCAAACCTTAAGTCAGGGATCAGCCACGCTCGGCTCTGGAGCCGCATGTGGCTCTTTCAATCCTCTGCTGCGGCTCCCTGTCGCCAGTCGGCACCACAGTTTTGAGAGGAGCTTCCGGTTTAGGGGAAGGGGCATAGGGCGCGCCAGGAGGAGACTCTATGGTTTTCCGCTCAGCTCTACAATTGATTGGGCTTTCGGTTAGGACAGGAGGAGGAAAAAGGACGCCGCGCTAGGAGAAGATTCTAGCGAAACCGGACTTCCAGTTGGCTCCAGAATTGAATGGGGGCGGGGGGGGTGCTTCTGGTTAGGACCTTGGGGGTTCTTTGAGTGTTTAAGGTTGCCGACCCCTGCCTTAAGTGTTGTAACATAGATTGTCTTCCTCTTTCTTCATTTCAGACTACAATTCCGTGTGAAGAAGGAAGGCTGGGGCGGAGGCGGCACCCGGACAGTGACTTTTATGAATGGTCCAGGCAACGTGGCTTTTCTCAAATCATCCGGAAAGAATCTTTGTGTCAGCATCGGGAGTGGGCTGCCTAAGAATTCCAGTAAGTGTCAGGTTTAGGGGTCTTGTCTGAGAGGCCAACAAGAGCGGCCAAGAAGGAACCCGGTCAGCGGAATCTTCCAGCATCAATAATGCCTTGGTTTAACGTCTCCTAGGTGTCAAACTCAAGGCCCACAGGATGCTTAGATCTGGCCTGCAAGGCCGGCCTGGAGACAGCCAAGGACTGGCTCTTGGTGGCTCTGCCAGCAAAAATTAAGCTCGGGGCGGAGACATCCACACACACCCCTCCGAGCTCCGTTTCGCTGGCAGAGGGTTGCAGTAGGCCGTCGTGGCTGAAAACGGGGCACAGGGAGCCACGCACAGACCTCCCGAGCTCCATTTTCACTGGGCTATCGAAACTAAAAAGAAAAGAAAAGGAGCATGCCAGAAGGGACAAGGAAAGGAGGAAGGGAAAGAGGAAAGACAAAAGAAAAAGAAGGAGAGATGGGAAGAGAGCAAGAAACGAAAAATAAGGAGAGGGGAAGGAAGAAGAAACGAGAAGGAAGAGAGAAGGAAAAAGGAGAAAAAAGAGAGGGAGGGAGAAAGGAAGGAAGGAGATTATAATGAGGGAGGGAGGGTCTCAAGGAAGTCCTGCCTTAGCACTTGGCCACCACAGGTGCCCCCGACATGAGTCCCATGTCATGCCTACAATGGCTACGCCCACCATTGCCACGCCCACTCCTGGCCTCACCACACCCCCAGGCCTCCGAGGTCACACACAACCCTGATTCGTTATGTGTGATAAGCATACCCAGGGTCACGTGATCAAAAAGTTTACACTTGGCAAATGGCATGTTGTGATGACATTTGCAGCGTCCCTGAGATCACATGATCATCACTTGCGACCATCCTAGCCAGCTTGCAACAAACACACAAAGGCAGTGGTTATAATAGCATGATTTACTTAACAGTTGCAGGGATTCCCTTAACAACCATGGCAGAAAAGATCATTAAATTGAGCGTGGCTCACTTCACCACCACCTTGCTCAGCAACAGAAATCCTGGTGCCAATTGTGGCTGTAAATCCAGGACTATCTGTATCCTTAAAGTACTTGAAAAACATTTTTCACTCTTGGCCTCAAATCACTGGTTGCTCATAGAGAAAACTGTGCTTCTGCAGAGGCGGTATTGTTGGGGACCCTCAAAGGTTAGCCCCAGTTTAAAGAATGCCCTCGGAGAACTTCCATCTTCAACCCTTTCGTCCTTCATGGTTTTTTTTCTTCTCATCCTATAGAGCCAACCCGGAAAGAAATCCAGCAAAGCAGAGGGCGTCCTCCCAAGCACTCAGCGCCATCCCGAGCTGCTGCGCCACTTCCAAGAGGTAGGAAGACTGTGCTCAACTTAGAATAGAATAGCATAGCGTAGAATAGAATAGAATAGAATAGAATAGCAGAGTTGAAAGGTACCTTGAAGGTCTTCTAGTCCAACCCCCTGCGTAGGCAGGAAATCCTATACCGTTTCAGAGAAATGGTCATCCAACACCTTCTTAAAAGACTTCCAGTGTTGGGGCATTCACAACTTCTGGAGGCAACTTCTATTCCACTGATTGATTGTTCTAACTGTCAGGAAATTTCTCCTCAGTTCTAAGTTGCTTCTCTCCTTGATTAGTTTCCACCCTTTGCTTCTTGTCCTGCCCTCAGGTGCCTTGGAGAATTGTTTGACTCCCTCTTCTTTGTGGCAGCCCCTGAGATATTGGAAGACTGCTGTCATCTCTCCCCTAGTCCTTCTTTTCATTAAACTAGACATACCCAGTTCCTGCAACCGTTCATCGTATGTTTTAGCCTCCAGTCCCCTAATCCTCTTTGTTGCTCTTTATCTGCACTCTTTCTAGAGTCTCATCTTTTTTACATTATGGTGACCAAAACTGGATGCAGTATTCCAAGTGTGGCCTTACCAAGGCATTATAAAGTGGTATTAACACTTCACGTGATCTTGATTCTATCCCTNGTTTACAGAGTCAGCCTATTGGCCCCAACAATCTGGGTCCTCATTTCACCCACTTCGGAAGGATGGAAGGCTGAGTCAATCTTGAGCCTGGTGGGATTCGAACTGCCAAATGGCAGCCAGCCAGCAGTCAGCAGAAGTAGCCTGCAATACTGCACTCTAACCACACTGCACCACTGTGGCTCTTCTACTCTAAATGTAGCTTTTTGTTTTCGGTTTTATAGATAGCTCTGGATGGTGGAAGGGTCGTCTCCATGGCCGAGAAGGACTTTTTCCTGGGAATTACGTAGCGAAGATCTGAACAGAAATAGCAATCTGAAACAGGAAGTAAGAGGCAAGATAGGAACGAGTAAATGAGCCATTTCATGGAAGCAAGTCGGGATAAGCACCAAGAAACTCTTACCTGGGTGTTTCTAAATGGCTTTTTTCAAAACAACAACCTTGCTGTTTAAGAACCTCAGTGAAGAGAGTAGACCAGGTACCTTTCTTGTATGATCTTTATAAGGTGCTCAGATGCTATTTGAGAAAAGCGTTGAGGATGTAGAAGTATTTTAAATAATTAGCCGAGAACTGAACGCAGGTGGGAGGTACTGCTTGCTGGGTCTGGACAGCTGATGCAATCTTGTTGGGGGCATTACAGATCATTAAAATGCCAAATTTTAACACACGAGGATTCCACTTGTCTCCTTTGGTTTCTCAATATGGCACTTCACTAAATGTTACAGCTTTTGTTTATTACGATGGCTGATAAAAGTCAGCTTCATGAAGGGGCATCCAGATGAATTGAATAATTTGGCATACTGTCGCTGATAGGAGAGGTATTAAACTGAAGCAATTCTATTAAATGCTTTTCTTCGTTTCCATTATTTCATCCCATAAGTTCAATGTCCTTTAAAAAAAAAAAAGTTGCCTCGTGGGAGAATAAATTCAAGCCCAAGTAAAAAGTCTCTCTCTCTCTCTCTCTCACACACACACACACACACACACACACACACACACAAACAGTCCACCCCATTTTAACGGCAATCAATACCTAACTCAGGAAAGAAACCTGTTTGCAAACAAAAAACTAAAAACCCTTAATGAAATCAGTAACTTGAAGGAAATACAAAAAAAGCCCTATGAATGGCGGTCATACCTCATTCTACTTCAAGAGATGCATCAAAAATTTCTAATTAGTTACGGTTAGATGTATGCCAGTGTTTCTCAACCTTGGTGACTTTTAAATCCNTGTGGCCTTACCAAGGCATTATAAAGTGGTATTAACACTTCACGTGATCTTGATTCTATCCCTCTGTTTATGCAGCCTAGAACTTCTAAGACTATTGTGAGAGAGTTACACAGGAGACAAGTAAGGAGAACATTTGAGAGACTAGCTGAGGGATGAATGGAAATGTGGTTTAGCCAGGAATAGAAAATCTGCAGCCAAACCTCCCAGCCTGTTTGCAGTGATCCCTGGAGTACCCGACATGACATCACTAATATGCAGAAACAAATCACTGACTTAGAGTAATAGGCTTCCTTTTTTATTGTTGAACATAAATTAAAAAAAATCGGTGTTTGAAGCTATTGTCAAATGCCAGGAAAATCAGGAGACAGTTCAAATAGGTATCAAGATATATTGAAAGCTTAAGCTCTCTACAAGAATCTGAACTACTAACAGCCAAGGGGAAATTAGCGGGAGGTAAGAGTAAAAGGAATTCAAGATGGGCTGGATTTAGATTTCTTGTGGGCACAAAGGGATTCATGACTGATGACATGTTTGACTCCTCCCTCAGTCTCAGCCTGGACATCTCCTACAGCTATTATTACAGTAGGAAAACAAGCAGACCAGAAGCTAAAACATTCAGTCCTGGTCATCTTGATGTCATGGCTATACTCTCAGCCCCCCTCAGAACTGGAAGTGTGGTGGAGGTCTATACACAACTGAATTTACTTTATTTGTGTGTGGGGGAGGGGAGCGTTCACCCTTTATCCTAAATCTTAGCAAACAGCTGGAGATAGAGGAATGCAGAGAGTATTGATGGAGGGATATAAAATATGTACCAGTACCATCAAGATATAATACAATTGTCCTCAATTTACAACCAGCTGTTTGGCAACCAAAGTTAAGATAGATTACCTCTCAAAAGATACTTACAACCTGGTACTGATATTCTGACATCTGTCCCAACGCAATCACATGTGCATTTTGGATACTTGGCAACTGGCCAGCTGAACACTGGGCTGCATTTATGCCTGTTTGCGGTGTGCTGTGGCCTCTATGGTTTTTTAAAATTTATATAAAGAATGGTATCATCTTCTAGGTCTATGCATCAGAGAGAAGCATGCAGATTTTAAAATGTGTGGACTTCAACTCCCCAAATCCTCTTTTTGAATTCTGGAAATTCAAATTGAAGTCCATGCATCTTAAAGTTACCAAGTTTGAGAAACACTGATTTAAAAAGTTTAGCAGCTAAAATTCACCCAACATGGTGAACTATATACTTTCATAATTTTAAGCCTGCATAGTCTTAGGCTCTCTTAAGAATTTGAGGGACCTCTAAAACTTTTAAGAATTAACACCCCTATAAAAGCACATTTCCCAAAACATATCCCAGATCTCCTACAGAGTCTAAATGAGGGATAAGGGGCGGCTTATCTGCCGAACAACTAATAGGTGAAAAGCAGATGGTTTAATAAGGCTGCTGTTTGGACCCCTTCTAGGAGGAAATCAATCAGTTATCTGCAGGAATGGAGCTGCTCAACTTCCTTACAACACCAGGCAACAGGAGATGACCTACTGCAGCCCCCAAATGCCTGGATCAGGTCCCCCCGCCACAGCACTTCCGAGACAAAATATGGCACGGCGGCCAAAGGCCAGGGTACCCCCAGATCAAAACATGGAGTTCCTCAGTGTCCCCGACCAGGGCATGGCTGGGTACGTACTACTTTGTTTCTTTTTTTAAAAAAGCTAAAGATTTCCACTGTCCAGTGGTGTCCAACTTTAGAGGGCGGTTGCTCGTCTCCGTTTCCTCGGATTGGGACAACTCGCCATGGCCAACTTACTGTGGGACAGCTTGCGATGAGACAATGTAACAGTACTACTTAATTATTTAAAGTAATTTTTTTTTCATTTTTGCCATTCACATTTTATTTTGCCCTGGAGAATACTTGGTGCTCTCTGAGCTTGGTATTTGCTTGCAGATGCTTTATTACCCAATTAGATGATCCCATCGGTGTATTGATTTCAGAATATTCATGAACTGGCAGAGACATGGTAACAAGGTCAGCCAATGAATAAGGCTTAGTAACATGGTCAGCCAATGGGAGCTGAAACCGTTTGGAGTCTGGGTGTGACTTTGCTCTGAACTGAAACTAAAAGAAACTTATTCTCTGTATAGCCTGCCTGTGTTTGAACTTGCTTACAATCTCTCCTCTCTATCACGTTGGAAGAATCTGCTGTTTGTATTGTACATTTATCCATGTGTTGTTTATGTATATAAAGAGGTTGATGAATCCTGCTGAATCAGTTCTCTGTCTGTGCTTTCTGAATTTTATTTTTGCCACAAACTCTGACAACTGATGATATTAGCAAGTCAGGTGATGAAATGTTTGCAAGCAAACAACCGAACTCAGAGAGCATCAAGGACTCCAAAAAGCCTTAAAATAGTCACACAGCTGTGGTTGTTGCATCTGAACCCCAAAATGTTTGTGATCCACCTGGCTGGTCTGAGACAGAGCGATACACCAACTAAGCTTGGATGAGATGTTGGGTAACTTGTTCACTTTTCTTTCCAACATCTCAGGACACAAAGGAAAAGAAGCATTAGCCAAAGGCCACCTCCTGCTGCAGGAAGACCCAAACCACAACCCAAGATTTCTGGACCACGTTGCCGGGCTTTGTACCGGTATGTTAGTCAGGATGTGGACGAACTGAGTTTCAATGTGGGCGACATCATAGATCTCTTGATGGAAGGTAAGGGGACTTCGCTCTGGTCCAGTTGTCGTACCTCACCAATTGTTTTATTGTGAGCAGGAAAATGGAAATCCCCACACTTGCGGCTGGGAAATATCATAAGTGGGAATCCAGGACTTTCTGTTCTGATATATACATGCCTTTAAGCTTAACATGGGAGTGGTTTAAGGTGCGAGTAGTTGCAAAGTTAGTGGGGCGCGATGGCTCAGCGGTTAAAGATGCTCGATTTGTCAGCTGGAAATCAGACAGCCCAGATTCAGGACCCAAGCACCGTGCGACGGGGTGAGTGCCCATTACTTACCTCAGCTCCTACCACTCTAGCAGTTCAAAAGCATGCAAATGCAAGTAGATAAATAGGTACCACTTTGGTGGGAAGATAACAGTGCTCTGTGCACCTCGATGTATAGTCATGCTGGCCACGTGACCACGGAAGTGTCTTTGGACAACGCTGGTTCCCTTGGCTTAGAAACAGATATGAACATCATCCCCTAGAATCAGACACAACTGGACAGGGGGAACTTTTACCTTTTTTTGAAAATTTAGTGGGGTGAATATGTCTGCATAGATTTATGGAGGGATAAAAATTCTGCAGAGACACAACATTCTTTCTATCTGGGTTACATACAGAAACATTTTAAGTACAGGTACTTCTTGATTTATAGGGATGCGATGTCTCAATGGCTAAGACGCTGAGCTTGTCGATCAGAAAGGTCAGCAGTTTGGTGATTTAAATCCTTAGGTGGGAAGGTAACAACAGTTCCGTGAGCCTTCGCCATTTAGTCATGCCGGCCACATGACCATGAAGACGTCTTCGGACAGTGCTGGCTCTTCAGCTTTGAAACGGAGATGAGCACCGCCACTTAGAGTCGGGAACGACTAGCACATATGTACGAGGGGAACCTTTACCTTAGTTCTTGATTTACAACCACAACTGAGGCCCAGAGTTTCTGTTGTTAAGCAACACATTTGTTAAATTAGTTGTTCATTTTATGACTTTTTTGCCACAGTTGTTAAATAAATCACTGCAGTTATTAAGTGAATCCCATGGTTGCTAAGCAAATCCAACTTCCCCCATTGTCTTTGCTTGTCAGAAGCCAGTTGGGAAGGTTGCAGATCAGTGGTGAGATTCAAAAAATTTTCCTACTGATTCTGTGGGTGTGGCTTGGTGCGCATGGCGGGGGAAGGTTACTGCAAAATCCCCATTCCTTCCCGATCAGCTGGGACTCAGGAGGCAGAGAATAGATGTGGGCGGGGCCATGC